GAATATAAAATTATTATAATAATTATTATTTTAAAAAATAAAATAAAATTATGTAAATTTTTTTCAAAAACAATTTCATACAAAAGTTCAAGACATTTATTAATTAAAAAAATTACTAAGAGCAAATTCATAAAAAAAATTACACAACAAAAATATTAATATTACTTTTTACAAAATAAGAACTAATTTATTACAAGTTTTACAATTTATTAACTAAACAAGAGTACAAAACATACAAATAAAATCTCAACTAAAAATCAAAAACTAAAAATAATTGTATTGAACATTTCATTTTAAAAATTACATTTAATGCACATTCTTGCTTTACATGAACCTAAAAAAATAAAAAAAAATATTAAATTTAAACTTCGATTTTAAATTAATTCCACAAACTTTGATCCAATAAGTAGTGATTAGTGAATAAACCAACAACAGAGGCGGAGAATGATGGGAGAGGTTCGAAAACGGAGAATCCGTTGTCGATAATTCTTCCGATGACCTGAAATGGCTGAAATGGAGCAGGACGTTTAACAGAAGATATTCAGAAGGAGACATTAGATATCAAATGAAACAATGAAATGGGAAATTTACATATATACAACTCAATTTATACGTATTTACATATCTAACACTAAACTTAGCATTTCACCAAATTCCTTTCATATCACACTATCTAGCACAGCAAGTTCATTCCTTTGTCGAGAAGCATACCAAAGATGATATTTTTTATTACAGTATTTGATGATTTTGGACTACATTCACTACACTATCTAGCACAGCAAGTTCAAACCGATTACATATAAATACATAATCCATGCATGTTGTTGTGTTATGTTCAAAATATGCAGTAAAAAATGAAATAATAAATCTCACCAGAATATTATTACAATTCCTAAAAGGATCCTTAAATATGGCCAGAGGACTGCAAATAAAAAAATTACAAAAAAAAACATAAATTTATAAATATGAAATAAATCATAAGAAGGTGGATCCAGGCAGAAAAGAGAAAAATAGCTTACCTTATGTACTCTACTATGGTTTTCTCGGTATGATTTGAGAGATTAATATTTTGGATATCTAGAAGCTGAGACAGGGCTGAAAGGAAGAGAGATGTCTCAAGAACAGAGACGATGAGAGATTAGAGGTGCTGTTCATGAGAAATAGTCCTGCAGGTTGCAAACCATTGTATAAATAGCAAAAGAAAACCAGCTTAATGAGCCATGTAAAGTCCTTCACATTCTGAAAATATCATTCCCCGAGCTTACGATTCATTACTTTCTGAGTGCTCGTAGCAGCTGCAAGTTTTTAGAGAACGGCAAAAGAGTTTTAAGCAATCAAAAAAATTGCAAATCATGTAACAATAACATCATTATCATAAAGCCAATTCTGAGAATAACACATTTGCAACATTACCATACCACATACATACATGCATACATATTGACACACATGGAGGACACAAGGGGGGGGGGGGGGGGGGGAGAGAGAGAGAGAGAGAGAGAGCAAATAGTTGATGAATCAGTCTTATTAATCATTATAGATAAGAAAAACTTCTCCTCCACATGATTTGTAGTACATAGCATTTAAGGGTCCGCATCAGTCAAGTACATCTCATTTTAATATAGATATGAATCATATCTAGCATGCAGATTAGAGAGATGTCCACGATAACCATCCTTTGAGAACCACATCTAAGAAGAAGAAAGTAAAGAAGAGATGAGTTTATGACTCATCTTCAGCATTACAAAGAGGACAAAGGGGAGAAACATGAAATATTTCTGCCAATTAACCGAGAGCTTGCCAATTGTGCAAATAATCAAGTCCCAATTCACAAATCATTTTAAATGTAGGATTATTTACATTTTTTCATAGCGGCTAATGTTTCTTCGAACACCAACAAAAAAAGAGAATATGTTGATATTCTCCATAACAATGTTTTTGAGTTTTTTCTAGAAAAAATTATGATTTTCTTTTGGAATTCTAAAAAAAATCGAATTCACTTTAAACCATGCAACAATAACATCATTATCATAAAGCCAATTATGAGAACAAGCTTAATCATAAAGCCACGTGATACTGGAATACCCAGGTAGATAAATGATGGATTAGAGCTACCATATCCAAGAATGTTACAGATCTTCAGAGTTATGAACATTTTCTGCAAAGAAAATTAAGTTTTGGGCGAATTAATCTATGAAATTTATTTACATAGATAATTATACTAGTTGTATATGAAATGATTGTCATGCAATGCAATGCAATGGCGGTGTTTCACATTTTTCGCTTTGGACAAATCTTGTGAAAATTTTACAATTAAAAGTAAAGAGATATTATAGAGAATGCTTTTAAGATGGAAGATATTGGTGAGTGTAGCTTTCCTAAAAATGTGACAACATCTACATAGATAATTATAGACTAAATGGTGGTGTTTCACAACAATTTCTCTGGACAAAGCTTGTACTCTTTTGTTCAGAACCAAGTTAAGCCAACTTACAGCTTTAAGTTGAACATCATATTATTTTTGTAGCATGCATAAAACCACGCATTAGGATTTGGCAGAATGAGAATAATACATCCATGTACATGCACTTCACAAGGATGCATGCCCTAAACCGCCAAAGTGAAACTGATAAAGTTCAAAAAAACTTTTTGAGTAAAAAAAAAAGAAAAAGAAAAATAGCATAGTATTCTTGACAAAATCATCCATAAAAAAATAAAAAAATAAAAAAATAAAAAAAATCAGATCTAGAAGTAATAGCCAAATCACAGCACAAACGCTTATACCCGTATGAATCATCGCACAAATGCACAATAGCCGAATTAAATTTCACAAAAAAAAAAACCCCTTGTAGAAGTAGCCAAGCAAAAATACCAAGAAACCAAGCAAGAAGATAACACCTCAGTAGCCAAACAAGCAACCAAGCAAGAAAACCAAGCAATCGACCATCAAAGGAGAAATAGAAGTAGATATTAGAAGGTGAAGGGGAACACAAACGACAAACCCTAAGCTCTCGCGACCGAAAGTCTTTCGCGATTTTGAGAGGGGAAGGGGCTTAGGGTTTTTTTAGTTATATAGTTACATATATTATATTATATTAATTATATAATTTATATTATATAAATATATAATAAGCAATAGTAACATATTTTTATTAATAATTTGTTATATATTATAATTTATAGAATTTAATTTTTTTAAATAAAATCATTTAAAAAAAAATAAATAATTATAATTTATAATATTTAATTTTATGAATATGTATTATGTGTGTGTGTGTGTATATTTGAGCCGAACATGTGCAAACAAATTTTAAATTGTTCGTGTTCGGCTCGTTAGGTTTAACGAACGAGCCAGACATGAGCTGTTAGCGAACGACGAGCCAATTTGACAGCCTTATATGCAATTATTATCTCGAGCTAGTTGAGAGATAGATATCAAATTATGAGATATTTGAGGAGTGTGAAATAAGTGGTTGAAAATTAGTTTACGATTGGGGGTAGGTAATATGCAATTTTCACAATATTGAATGAGAACTGTGATGTCCTTGCCAACCATCACACCAGTGGCGGATCTCCAATATGTATGGCCTAGCAACTCCACTGCTGAAAACTACCTCGTTATCTATATATAAAAGGTGTATCTCATTTTTTTTTTAAGTAAAATACTAATGCTTTAATATGATAAAAAAAGATCTATGTTATATAAATATAAATTGGTATAAATATATAATATCAATTTGGGTGTTACTTATATAAATATATAACATATATGAAAAATACATAGGAATTGAGTGGTATATATGATCATCTTTTTTTTCTCTCAAAGATGATTTGCATACACACAACATCCTTCTTATGTCTTTACACATCTTATAGCTAAACTTCAAATTTTACGTATATTTGACCTTATACATATCTATAAAAATGTATATTTTACGTGTAATAGAAAAGATTTAGGTGATATTAATATAAAAAAGCAACATTTAGGTGTTACGCATGCAAAAATGTAAGAATTTGGTTATCACATGAGATCTTTTTTCCCCTTTATAAGTATTTCATGTAAAAATTTTAATGATCTTTTAAATTTCTCTTATTTATTTAAGTTTTTCATGCAAAATTAATATATTAAATTCTTTTCACATCTATAAATATTTTTTGACACAATTAAATCATTAAGAGAAAACTAAAATTAACTTATTTTGGTATAACTTCATTATAAATAGCAATTCATTTTCTATTTCTTATTCAAAAACTTTGTTTGTCTAACAAAAATTGATATTTATAAAAAAAAAATTAATATCAAACTATATTGAGAAAATAATTAAAATAAAATTTAAAATAATTTTATTATCTTAGGATAATATAATATGAATTATCAATCAAAATATGTATTACACCAACTTTTGGAAAAGATTTTTACATATTTACCTAATCTATAAATTATCTAAACCAAATTTACATGAGAATATAATAGCTCACTGAATTTTTCTAAAATAATAATTATAATTTTAATTACATTTTCCCGCTCAACTGTAAATGTCCAAAAAGCTCTGCATTGCTCACCTATTTGTGAGCATCCAAGAAGCTCATTACACCGATCAATTAGTTTATTTGTAGTAAACCTTTCACTTCTCCGTCGACACCCTCAGCGTTCGTCGGAGAAGAGATGTCATTTACCGAACCTTTTTTCGGTGTATATTATGTTCATTCGTACTGATACTTATGTCGTTGTTGCTGCGCAACCGTAATAATTGATTCATTGACTGCAGTCACTCTTTTCTGTCATATCTGTTGAGTAGATTTGATTTAACAGTCTGACATTCCCAACGCGTATTCTTCTACTAATAGCTCCCGTCTCCTCAAACTCTAAGCCCCGTCTTTCGTCCCCAACTTCTCCTTAGGCGCACCGTCATTACCGATACACGACATTCGAACGTCAAAGTCCTGATGATAATAGCTTACATGTTATATCATAACCTGATTTTTTCAGTTGTCTGTATACAACTCTGCACTCATTGTCACTCCCATTCCAGCAAGTGATTATATCATTAATTTTCAATTTCTCCAAAGATACTTAGATATTATTATATCAATCATTCATTGCACCATCCCAAAACCTCAAGTCATGTCTATAATTGATGATTTCACCATATTATGCGACCTTCAGTCCGCCCCTCTTGCTGCGCCTCTGTTTTCTATTACCGTGCTGTAATATCTCAAGGTGACGGACAATTTTCTTGGTTCCGACAAGGCATAATGCTCTGTCTGCATGGAAAATTTCAAGATCGAGAAAGTGGCGACACAATTATCTTGTAAGAACATACACCATAAAGAAATGCATTGCACGATGACTACAAATACACAACTCGTGTCCAATTTGTCAGGATAGCGGTACCAGTAATCCACAACCGGTGGTTTCTAATACTGTTACTGGTGAAGAAATGACAAATGGCAGAGAGTCGGATTTCATGATAGGAAGATTTAACATTATGCTGCAATCAGCAGTTGATTTAGAGGTTGAGCTAAAGGAACGTGGAGGAGATGGGAACAAGGCTTTAGGACAATGAATAAAGTTAGTCTTGTCCTAAGATTAGATGGCCCTATCTGAAGCTCCTTCAAAGGTAATTTTATTTTCTTTTTAGAGATTTTATTTATTTTATTTTTTGTCTATTTTTTTAATAGAATTAAGATTTTTAAAATCAAATTCTCGATCTCTTACGGTTGCGTCACACTCTCTAGTTATGAATTATTTAACCCTCACATCTAGAGAAATCCTGATCCTCATAATATGATTATTAAGTCAACAACATTAAATGTAGAATAAATTTTTATATCTTATAGTAGATCAATTTTGTAAGTATTATTATTAATCAACTTAACATATTAAAACTAATCATTTAATCTTTTCATATGAACTAGCAGGAAACTTTTTTTTTCAGTTTTTCCTCAGGTAGAGTTTACCTATAACCATTCTATTTGTTAGTCCATATGTCACAGTCCATTTAAGATTGTGTACGGGTAGAATCCACTTACGCCTTTGGATTTAGTCCCCATACCGACCACAATTGAACTTAGTAAGGATGTCGGGGGTTCAATATTTGAGCATGAAAGGAAGGAAATTGTTAGCAGAACATCAAGTATCGGAAACAAGCCAACAAGCACATGAAAGTTATGATTTTCAAGAAAGTGACTTGATGTGGATCGGGCAGAAAAAGAAATGATTTCCTGCAAGTTCATATGGAAAACTTAAACCAAAAGCTCATGGTTAATTTTAATTTGTTAAGTTGATTAATGA